AATGAGACGATATACGATAGAATGAATGTAAAACTAATGTTCTCCCATGTAAACTATCACATAATTCACAATAAAACATTTAAGAAAAAAAAAATTCTATCTAATCTTCAAGAACTACCTTAAAATTCTCTACTGTTACCATTCCTCAGCAATTCAAAAGTCACTTTTGCCATCACTTCATAAATACTAAGTTTAAGATTAAAACTCTGAAGACTAATTCTCTCTACGAATATGATTACAATTTGAGATAAATCCAAATTACTTTGACTGGGTTTATACTTTTTATACAGCAACAAAAGCAAAGCTAAAATCACGGTTATGCTAAACCCACTAAGTATAAGCATTAAACTAAAACATTTTATAAATAGACTTACTAATCGCACTGTATCATCAAACACTGGACACAATTTAGGATTATGGATTAAATTGTGTCCCAAAAATATATGTCAATTTGGCTGGACCATGATTCAGTGGTTTGGCAGTTATGAAATGACATAATCATCCCCAGGAAGTAATCTAATGCAATCAGCCAATCAGTTGTGAGGGGATTTGGGTGAGTTGGAACACTCTTACTCAAACCACAGCCCTGATTCAATGGAAGAAGAGTTTCCCTGGAATGTGAGCTTCATCACCTTTTATCTTAAAAGTGATCAGAAGTGAGAGAAGCAGAGAGGAGTGCCCTACTACCACTGAGAAAGAAGAGCTAGGAGTAGAGCATGGCCTTTGGACCCAGAGTCCCTGCACTGGGAACCTTCTAGACCTAGAAGATTGATATCAAAACCCAAGGAATGTCAAGTGCACAGACACTGAAAAGAGAACTTCCTGATAAACTGTGAGCCAAAAAAGAGAGAAAGCCTTTTCCTGGAGTTAGCACCATGGATTTGGACTTCTTACCTCCTAAACTGTGAGAGAATACATTTCTGTTTGTTGAAACTGTCCACTTCTGGTATTTCTGTTATAACAGCACTAGATAGATAACACAAGTAGGGAGCTTTTAAAAATACCATGTGACACTGTGGATTAATGTGTCAGACTACAAAGCTGTTTGAACTGCATAGTCAGTGGTTCAAGCTCACCAGCTGCTCCTTGGAAACCCTATACAGACAGGGTCGCTAAGGGTCAGAATCAACTCGATGGCACTTAACAACAACAACCCTAGCATCAAAGACCTAAATGTAAGACCTACCTAAAATCATAAAATCAAAAAACATAGGAGCTCTGGTAGTGTGGTCGTTATGAGTTGCACTGCTAACCTCAAGGTCAGCAGTGTGAAACTACAGGAGCAAGATGAGGCTTTCTGCTCCTGTAAAGATTTACAGTCTCAGAAACCCTATATAGGGTCACTGTGAGTCAGAACCAACTCCATGGCACATGATTTTTAACACTGGATTCTTAAATATGACATTAAAAGCACAGACAACAAAAAGCAAAACAAATGAATGAGGTATCAAAATGCAAAACTTCAGTACATCAGCAAAGCGAAGAGACAACCTACAGAGTGAGAGAAAACTTGGGAGAATCATATGTGTGACACTGTAGGATAAGCACAGGACTACAAGTTCAGTTTGAGCCAGAAGAAGGTCAGCAGTTCAAATTCACCAGCTACTCCTTGGAAATCCTATACAGGGCCGCTATGAGTCGGAACCGACGCAATGGCACTTAACAACAACAAATATACAGATAAGGCTTTAAAAGCCAGACTATATAAAGAACTCTTAAAACTTAACAAGAAAAAGACAAAATATCCAACTGAAAAATGGGCAAAGATCAAGATAGACATTTCACCAGAGAAGATAAACAAATCGCCATCAAGCCTATGAAAAGATGCTCAGCATCATTATCCATTTCATTCAAGTTAATTCCAGCTAATGTTGACTCTATGGGACAGAGCAGAAGGGCCCCATAGGGTTTTGAAGAATATAATGTTTACACAGGCAAATTGACACATCTTTCTCCTTTGAAGCAGCTGGCAAGCTTGAACATCCATCTTTTCTTTCAGTGAGCAGCCGAGCACTTAACCATTGCACCAATGGTCCTGATCATTAGCCACTGTTGCTGTTAAGTGCTGTCAAGTTGATTCTGACTCATAATGACCCTGTATAGAGTTTCCCATGGAGCTCTGGTAGCGTAGTAGTTATGAATTGGGCTACTAATCTCATGGTCAGCAGTTAAAAACTACCAGAATTTCTGCAGGAGAAAGATGAGACTTTCTGCTCCTGTAAAGATTTGCAGCCTTGTAAACCCTATGTAGGGTCACTATGAGTCAGAACCAACCCCACAGCACATAACTACCACCACCA